TGTAAATTTTTTATGAAAATATTATTAAACATAATTTTTGTCATAAAATTGGATCTTTTTTATGAAAAAAGTCCTTTTTCTGAAACACGGAGGTACTCAGAATTTATTTCCAATTATGAAAACCATTTTTGTCTTGAGAAAACGACGTTGATGTTTGCAATTTTTTTCTAACAATTTTTGAAGTAGATTATTAAATTTTCGTCTTTTTTCAATACATTGCAGCTTTTTTTTTATTAAAAAAGGGCATTTTTTGACATTTATTTTTCTAAATAATTTCATATCATAATTTTTATTGATGAAAAATAGAAATACAGAAAAATTAAGATTAAATTTTGATCAGAAACTAAATAAGTAAACAAATAATTTTCCATATAGAAAAATTGAATAACAATGTTATTTTTAGAATTTTCAGTTTAAAAACAAAGATTTTTTTCAAAACAATACCCAGATAGCACGCAAGCTTCCTGCAAACTTGCAGCAAACTTGCACTGCAAGTTTTGCAAGATTTCAGTGCAAGCTTTCAGCAAGTTTGCAGCAAGCTTGAAATGTCTGGACTGCTGCAAACTTGCACTGCAAGCTTGCAGCAAGTTTGCACAGCAAGTTTGTGGAAAGTTTGCACAGCAAGCTTGCTGCAATCTTGCTGCAAAGTTGCAAATTTTTTTTATATATTCATAAAAAATTCTGCTTTTTGTACCTTTTTAAAATTTAATAAAATTAAAATTATTTGCAAAAAAAGGTAAAAAAAAACATAATTTTTTATGCATACAAAAAAATTTTGCAACTTTGCAGCAAGGTTGCAGCAAGTTTGCTGAAAGCGTTCTACAAACTTGCTGTGCAAACTTTCTGCAAGCTTGCAGTGCAAGTTTGCAGCAGTCCAGACATTTCAAGCTTGCTGCAAACTTGCAGAAAGCTTGCACTGCAATCTTGCAAAACTTGCAGTGCAAGTTTGCTGCAAGTTTGCAGCAAGCTTGCGTGCTATCTGGGTACTTCTATAGGTAATTATGAAAATCATTGATTTCATTTGGAATTCTTTTCATGGATTTAAAAACATATTTTCTACCAAATTACGCGTGTGTTTCGAAATCCACCAATTTTTAAGAAAAATGATAATTGAAAAAGGGTCAAAATATTTTCTGTCCGCTTTTATTTTATGACCGTTGAATTCCTTATAAAAAATTACTTTAAAACTAATTTTGTGGAATATTTAAATTAGATTTTTCATATACTTAAAAATATCAATAATAAAAATAACCATTAAAAATTTTTAAAATTATACATTTCATAATTTTTTATTATTTACTTTTTTTTTGTTTAGAAATTTTATTTGTTTAATAATTTTTTCATAAAAAATTTTCCTTTATTGTTTTAATACTTTTCCATAATAATATTTTAAAAAAGTAAGTAAAATAATAAATAATAATAGATATAATAACAATAATAAATAAATAAACAAATAATAAATGTAATAGTAAACAATGAGAGTATAATTGACATTTAATATTTTTGTTCCTTACGTTCATTTCTACTGTACTACGCAAATGATGCAACCTGATATAGTCGGCCATGGCTAACCTCCCATATTGAGCTGTCAGTTTGCTATGTTTTGGAAAACGCGGATTGATATTCACGCCCATAGAAACATCCAATCGTCATAAGAAAACTTGTTGAATATTCTCTATTAAATATTATTTTTCCCTAAATCGCCCTTTTTTTCATTTTCAATCTGGATTTTTTTTAATTAATTATCAAAGTCAAAAAATTTCACCAAGAGGGACGAAAAGAGGGGAAAAGAGTGGAAGTTGAGGAGAAATCGCTCGCTACGCCTATGCGTACTTTTAAATATTTCCCACCGTGCAGCGTCCTTAAGAAGATTCTTACCCATTGTATGTTGGCCTATTTTGTAAAAAGTGTCTGTGTTTAGAGAAAAAGTGGTTGAAAAATGTTTATTTACCTATTTCACGTCATTTAAATCAGTCAGTGCCGTATTTTGTCGGGCGACAATTGTAACCTTAAAATTTCACAGACCTTCCTTCACAGACCTTCGCTTTTATTTGGATATTTGAAAATAAAATTAATACTTAATTAATTAAAACGGTTTAAATCTTTTTTGTCACTGATTAACTTAAAACACAATGTACCTAATTCATATAAAAAAAATTGTGAAATTAACAAATCTCTAAATCAGAGATGTGAATTTATGGCGTTTTCTGGTATAAAGTTTGACAGAATCAAACACAACTTATCACAGTAATTGTGAATATAATGTTTAATTTAGATACACTTATATTTCATTGGACTTCAAATTAATATTATTTCAAGTTTAGAGATTAATTTTTTTCCGTGCATGTCAGCGATTGGACCTTCAACATGTGGAAGGGTAAATTTTTCCCTTTCCTCCTTGAAATTACAAGAGAAAGGGTAAAAACTTCATCCTCCGTGCAGTTGATATAGTCAAACCCGAATAGTGAAGCAATTTTTCGCGGTTTCCATTTGCGTAAATCAATATAAATTCACATTTTCTTTATGGAAATGGTGAACTAAAGTATCGAATTCGGTTACTAAACTTTGAATAACTAAAAAAATGAGAAATCCACTGAGTTTCAGTCAAAAACAAAATGTGCCTTTTTTCATGGTGATGTCATTGCGACCTTGGTACGGTCTGCGCACGCGCAGCGAGCAACAGAGTTCACGTCGCGAAAAATTAAACTGTTTGACTATGTCAACCGCACGGACGATGAAGAAGTTTTTTCTTTTTCTCTTGTAATTTCAAGGAAGAAAGGGAAAAATTTACCCTTCCACATGTTGAAGGTCCAATCGCTGACATGAGACTTCTTCATCGTCAGTGCGGTTGATATACTCAAGCAGTTTATTTTTCGCGACGCCTCAAAAATGCTATTTTACTGGTCATTTTAATTAGTTATTTTACTAATTGCTTTTTATTGCTCATAGCCAAAAATGATTTTTTTGGACAGTTTGAAACTCTAATTTTCCTTTTTTGTAGGGAAAGTGTAAAAATGTTAATTTTTGTAAGAGAAATGGCTGTTACAAAAGTGCGATTTTTGTGTTGGGTTTGTTTACCTTTTGGTTTGTTTACATTTCACACCTTGGACATACCCTTAAATGATCTTTCAAGCAAGACCTCGAAAAATGAAATCAGTTTTGATTCGTTTAGTCACAAGAGTAAAAAAAACCGTTACTAATGGCCGGTTTGCCCCACTCACCCCTATTACAAATTATGATATTTTAGAAATAAATACCTACAAAATAAAATTTCTTATAAATGTGAGGCATTTTATTTCAAAACATAAATATGTTTCCTATTTAAATAAACCAATTGAATTTTGTTACTAGCAGTTTTGAAAGAGAAATTCTTGAATTTTATGATAGTAAAAAGCTTTTTTTAAAAAAATAACGTATAGTCAAACAGAAAATTTGATTTGAATGTTAAACTTTTAAATATCTCAAAACACGTTATATCCGATTTTGATAAAATTGATGTCAAAAAAAATTGGACAAGTGCGAGTTGTACTCGCACTGCAATGGCGGGTTCCGTACACAAATATTAAAACAATACTTGCAACATTTATCGGTAATTGATAGAATTAAAATAAACAATTAAAAAAATATATTAAAATCATTTGATAAAAAAAATAACTAAAAAAATTAAAGTATTGCATATATCTAATATTGTAAACAATAATAAGCAGAGGAACAAAATTTTCAAAATTATAGTTCCTCTGCTTATTATTGTTTACAATATTAGATATACAATACTTTAATTTTTTTTAGTTATTTTTTTTATCAAATGATTTTAATATATTTTTTTAATTGTTTATTTTAATTCTATCAATTACCGATAAATGTTGCAAGTATTGTTTTAATATTTGTATACGGAACCCGCCATTGCAGTGCGAGTACAACTCGCACTTGTCCAATTTTTTTTTTTTTAGTTAAGAAATTAAAGTCAGAAAACAATCTCTCATTTATTCTCTTAAAGTTTCACTCTCTTCCTTAAAATATTTAATGCCACGTGTTTAAACTAAAAAAAATTAAAATTTTTTTTTTTTTTTTTTTTGAAAAAAAAAATTAAAAAAAAATTTTTTTTGATTTTTTTTTCAAAAAGTTTCTTAAATAAATTTTTTGTCGTCTGACTGTAATAATACACTAGGATACCAATTTTCAGCTCATTAGGTCAAATAATGTAAAAGTTAGAGAAAAAAAATTTTTTTAGTTTTTCCTTGACAACGCTATGGCCATCATTACATATCAAGTTCTCTATATTTTTCCTGTAATATTCAAGTAAAAATACACCAGCATGCAAAATTTCAGCTCTTCATGTCGAATAGTTTAGAAGTTAAGGGGGGGGGAATGGTCACTTTTTATGCATTTTTGGCCAAAAATCTTGTTATTTCCTTGACAACGCTATGACCATCACGTCCAATCACATTCGCTATATTTTTCCTGTAATCTACGAGTGAAAATACATATCTGGACCAAATTTGAGCTCTTTAGGTCAAATAGTTTAGCTGCTAGGGGGGGGACACGATTTGGCTACGGACAACAGAGTCTCACCAATAGGGTTCCGCCGTTACACCGTAGGTGTACGGAACCCTAAAAAAGAATAAATATTCTATTTTTATTCCTGTAAAAATTATCTTGGACATTTCAGTGGATTTTGAGAAATTAATTAAAATCCACAATCTTATCTATTATCAAAATCCACCTTCATATCAAATTTTTTATAAAATTACGTTAATAAAAAAAAAAAAAGCTTTTTACTATCATAAAGTTCAAGAATTTATCTTTCAAAACTGCTAGTAACAAAATTCAATTGGTTTATTTAAATAGGAAACATATTTATTTAAAAATTGCCTTAAATTGGCAATTGTTTACAAGGGGGGTCGTTTTGAAACAGAATGCCTCATTTATTCAATATTTCTCAGTGTAATTCCTAAAAATGTTTTTCTTTTAAATAATAAATGCACGTGAATAAAAGATAATTTCGATTTTAACGCAGTTCTAAGGAAATTTATTTTTGGAGAGAAAAAAAGTAACAAATTTATTTTTAAATTAAATACAGTAACACAGGGAAAAATTCTCCCAGGAGAAAAATAACAACATTTTTGTTTCTTTCACTATAAATTGTCGAAGTCAAACATGAGTCTGAAAAAATTAATAACTCAAATTTCAGAGCTTTATGTAATGAAAGATTGACTATATTTAGAAAAAAATGAGTTTTTTAATTACAAAGATCTTATAGATCAGACCTAACACCTACTCCGGGACCAGGAGGCGGACTAGTTAAGGATGTGAGTCCCCCTGCAGGTTCTGCCGCAAATCGTCCTACGTTTTGTGGCCCTGGCGGTGGTCTGTCTCCATTTTTAAGTGCGTTAATTATCGCTTTAGTACTCTCCGCGGTAAGATCCTCCTATGTATGAAGAAAATCAATTTTAGAATTAAAAACATTTTAAATTAAAAAAGTTTTCATTCAAAATAAAAGAAACTGGATCAATCCATTACACTTTACATAAAGTCGTTGCGGCATATTTTTATAAAAATCTGATACTTCGTATTAATGATTTTCAATATCTGTACAATTCATTTTTGACAATTATTTTCAAAAAATTTTTTGAATAAGCAGATTAATATGTAAATATTTCCAAAATAATAGATAACAATTACTTTTAAAACCTACCTATGAAATGTCAAAAGTCACCACATTTTAATTACATTTTTCTAAACAGTTTGTAAATATTTGAAAATTTATTACTACTTAATATTAAGTATTTGCATTTTAATCAACAAATACGTTTTTGGAAGCACATTTTTTAAAAGTGCATAAAATGAGGAAATAGCTCATTCTCCATCGACATAATTTGAGAGGATGGAAAAGAAGATGAAACTTAAATATTAAGACCAAAATTGGATTTTTTTGTTTTGCACCTGAGGAGATATAAGTGATTCAGATCAATGAAAATCATAAAAGACTGAATATTAAGATACAATTTCACATTTTTACATTTAAAAGTACTTAATATTAAGTAGTAATAAATTTTCAAATATTTACACACTGTTTAGAAAAACATAATTAAAACGTAGTGACTTTTGACATTTAATACGTAGGTTTTAAAATCAATTGTTATCTATTATTTTGGGCATGTTTACATAAAAATCTATTCACAATAGTAAATTAACCCAGTTTAAAGAAATATCATCCAAAAAATGTATACTATCTAAATTGGGGTCATTTGGGGTAAATGTAAACAGAATATATTTTTCGCCAAAAACGTAAGTTTTTTTCGTTAAACGGTGAAACTGACGGAATTCTTTTGCATGAACTTGTTACTTCACTTCCCTAGAAAAATTTTATGGGGTATAAGAAAATATTAATGAGCCTGAAATGCAAAAAACTTATTGTTTACATTTACTCCGAAATTTTGAAATTTTCCTAAAATTTGGGGTAAATGTAAACACCACTGTAGTTAAGAATTAGTCCAGAAAAACGTTATCTCAAATATACTACTGTATTAAGGGATGGAAAAACTGAAAAAAAATCGTAGTAGATTTTTAAACAGTTGATTGATAATAATGCAACACATAACATCAAAAATGAACTTTTGGAAAATATTATGCAAAATATATTATACTTGCAAATGACTCACACGAAGAAGTTATGAAAAGAAGACCCAATCTCCTTTTCTATATAATTTTACATTGCCAAAAAAGTATAGTTGTCAAATAGAACCAAATTCATTCATTTATAATTATTCTTTTAAAGTCATAATACTAAAACTGTGAACTTTGATTTCCAACCTTTTATGATTATTGGCAATTGTCAAAATAAAACTTTGACAATACTCAGAACCAATTACAGGTGAGCTAAGGTTAAAATATTGTCGTCTTATTTAATTCTAAATCCTTAACTGTTTACATTTACCCCAAACTAACTTCTTTTCATTACAACTCAACTTAAAAATTAAAAAAATTTTGAAAACAATTGTCATTAATGCGAAGTATCAGATTTTTCTAAAAATAAGACTCAACGACTTTAGGTGAAATATAATGGATTGACCCAACTTATAAACTCAGACTTCGCACTCGATAATTAGTTGTAAAAAAGTAGCAAAAAGTATCTTTCAAACTAAAAAAAGTAGTAAAAAAGTGGCTATCGAAAAATTACACTTAGGGGAGCGTGGGGGAATTGGAGCCCCTTAAGGAAAATTATTTTAAAAACCAACTTATCTTTATAATGATACATTGTTTTCGTTATTTCTTACTCATTTCGTTATTTATCTTTAATTGTGTTTAATAAGAAACTTAAAAAGAGAAAGTAAATTGGAAAAAAAAAATTTTCAAAAAAAAATACATTTTTTGCGATCACCCAATTTGTGGGGTAATGGGAGCTTTCACTTAAAAATTTAAAAAATTTCTATATTTTAGGAATATTTTTTGTTTTCTAATAGAAAAAAGTGTTAATACTTACAATGAAGCCAAAACTTTAGACTTAGAATACATTTTTTCCTAAATTATAATTGAATAAAAAATTTTTGAAAAAAAATTAAATTTTTCATTTTTCCCACCAAAAATTATTTTTTAATTAAAAGTTTTTTCATAAGGTGATATCTTTTACAATTTTGAAAGAAATAACGAAAGACGCAACATAGTAACGAAAATTCTTTGGTCTGACACTAATTCTCCCATTACCCCACAGAATTTTTACAGGACAAAATTTGAATAAAAAAATAAAAACAAACAAATTTTATTATTATTTCGATTTTTATACAAGTATACATATCTACACATATTCACCTATAATATAATGAAAAAACAGAACTAAATAATACGATTTTAACTACTTATGGTGATGTTTAGAAATATTTGGCATTTTACAACGAAAACTCAAAAAATACATTTTCCCTTGTCTTTACTAAAAATTTGTCAAGAATGTAATCGTTTGTTTTGGAATGATATAAACAAAGGTTGTAGAAGATTTTCTAGACATTGCAGCGAATTTGAAGGCTTTTAAGTGCGTAAAATTTAAAAGCTCCCATTACCCCACGCTCCCCTAACGACAAAAAAAAACTCGTTTTAAACACAAAACTGACAAAAATTCCATTTGTATATTTTATTTTCCTGACTTTTTCTTAATTTTTATCAAAAATATTTACTTCTTTCTTACCTTGCTAATAAATTGAATTCCTGCAACGAATTTTTTATTCATGAAAGAATTTAAATACCTATTTAGAAAAATAATTCAAATCAATTTTATGAAAATTTTTTAATAATTTCTTTCTTTTGACTAATTTTATGCAAATTCTAATTTAAGGTAGTTCTCCGGCTGCTACTCTTGTAAAAATTGATTTTTGATAGATTTTCTTCAAATTTTGAAAAAATGTTTCCTCGAATGCCCTTTAAATGTGGTAAAAATTTCAAAACCCTTTTTTATTTTTAACATAATCGCATGTAAAAGTGAAAGTTTGGACTTGAATAACTCAAAATATAGCATCGCAAGGGTTTTGAAATTTTTACCACATTTAAAGGGCACTTGAGGAAACGTTTTTTCAAAATTTGAAGAAAATCTATCGAAAATCAATTTTTTCAAGAGTAACAGCCGGAGAACTACCTTAAATAATGAAATTCTTGAGAAATTTGTATTATTCGTGAAAAGAATTGAATTCTTACGAAGATTTAAAAATTTTTTTAAATAATTTAGAAATTTTATGAAAATAGTAGATATTGAAAGTCATTGAATTGCGGAAAATTTTTTAAAATAATTAAATTTTACAAAGAATTCTATTAATATTTTTGAGAATAATTGAATGTCTGTGACATTTTATTAAATTTTTTTTGAAAATAATTGAATTCCTAAGAAGCATTTTATTATTTATGAAAATAATTGAATTCTTGCGAACAATTTTATTTAAATGTTTTTAAATAATTGGATTTCCAAGAAAAAATGTATTACTTTTAAAAATAATTGAATTCTTGTGATGAATACTGTTATTCATGAAAATAATTGAATTTTTCAAAGAATTTTATTAAAATGCTTCAAAATAATTGAATTTTTGGGAATAATTTTGTTATTTATTGACATAATTTAATTCTTGGGAAGAATTTTATTAAAATCTAAAAGAATAATTGAATTATTTCAAAAAAAATTAATTAAAATTAATTAGGTATGAAATCAATTATTATTGACTTCTTTCGAACAATTTTATTAAAATATTTGAAAATAATTGAATTCCTTTGAAAAATACTAATATTTTTGTTAATAATTGAAATCTTCCAAAGAATTTAAAAAAACACATTTTTTCAATATTGATTTTTTTCAAAGAATTGAAATTAAATTTTTAAGAATAATTAGGGGAGAGACTCCAGTTGTGAGACACCTCCAGTTGTGAGACAATCAATTTTTTTTAACATGCAATATTAAAAAGACGATTGGTTTATATAAAAACATTTCTTTTTATATGAGCCAACTTTTTCAAGTACGCCGAAGCGGATATATAAACTGTTTTTTTTAATTCCAACACTGTGTGTGATAATCGACTAAAAAGCGTTTTTTCAATAAATACAAAGTACTTTTTTTCCAATTTAATTAATTGGAAAAGGTAAATGAAATGCATTTTCTTTTAGTGTTTTCCTTACATTTTGTGATGCAATATTGCATTGTTCCAATCTACGGTTGAAAATAATTTAATTTTCCTTTTTCAAAATAGCGCCAATTTCTGGGTGTGAGACACAGCATATCACCAGTTGTGAGACGGTGTCAACACCCATCTGGGCAGCATAAAAAATACGACTTTGCAGGCATACTATTTAAATGTTGTTTCGATTTTTTTTCTAGTATTTTTAGGCATGTCAAGTGGAAAAAAGTCAATTGATTCAGAAGAAATCAATTTTAATGCTCTTGTTGAAGCTATTAAATTGTGTTTATTTAATAGTCATATTTTGGCGAATAAATATTATTATTTAGTATATAATAATATATATTATTAATATATTTAATTATTTCTACGAAACATAAGGTTTTATGTCAAACTTATTAAATTTTAGCAATTTTTAATAAGTGTCTCACAACTGGAGACATTTTTTTTTTTTTTGAAAAAAGCGATGTGCTCGAAAAATGTATCGTAAAATTTTTTGAGTTCATCGAAACACTATACTTTCTTTTAATAAAAGTTGCGTATTTCTGTTACCTTTCGAACGGTGTATTTTATTTACAATTTCGTTTACCCGTTTACAATTTACGGGTCAAAAATGAAACCCGTCTAACAACTGGAGACTCTCCCCTACATTTTTTCGAGCAATTCCTGTAAAATTGTATTAAAAATAATTGAAATTCTACGAAATGAATTTTATTATTTATGAAAATAATTAAATACTTGCAAAGAATTTTATTAAAATTTTCAAAAATAATTGAATACCTGAGAAGAATTTTATTATTTATGAAAAGAATTGAATTATTTCCATAAAATTTAATTGAAATTAATTATTAAATTAAGGTTTCAGTAGATGAGTGCGAAGCCTGTAAATTTGTTTTATAAAATAAAAGTTCCGGATCTGTAACAATTAATTCTTAGTTTTTAGTACATTAGAAAATAAATAATAATTTTTTTAAACTTTCTAAATTTAAATATAAATTTAGAAACAATTAATTTTAAAGAAATTGAGATTATTTTTGTGAATTTTTAATTTTGAATTGAAGATAATTTTTGTTTGCTCACATAGTAATCATCGTTAACTTGCAGCATCGGAGCATTAGCGCAAGCACCAAGACATTCAACTTCGGAGATGGTGAATAATTTATCTGACGAAGTACCACCGACTTTGCAATTTGTCGCCTCGCAAACTGCATTCAAAACCGAGTCAGAATCTCTCAACCAACATGGTGTACATGTGCAAACTTGAACGTGGTATTTTCCCATTGGCCGTCGATTGAACATGGTGTAAAATGTTGCAACCTCATAAACACGCATATTCGACACTCCAATAATTTCGGCAACTTTGTGCATCGCTGAAATTGGTAACCAACCATGTTGTCGTTGTGCCAAATCCAATAGCGGAATCATTGCACCACGTTTGTGGCCCTCGGGATAAATTTTTAACAGTGCATCGATACGTTTCTTATTCTCCGCATTGAATTCAAAGGGAATACTCGGATTGTCCTCTTCACTGTCTCTGTGCTATTTAATTTCATTTTTCATTAATTCAACTAAATCATTCAAAATAAATATTATTAGTAAAAAATAAATTAATAGTGACAATTTTTATTAATATTCTTTATTTATTTATGTTCTTCGAAATATATAAAACCTTTAATAGCATTATTGCCAAATATTAGTTAATATTGTGCAAGATTTATAAATAACAAAAAAAAGAAAGAACGTTTATTTAACCATTGTTAAATAGAAGTTGATTATTTAATTGTAAAACAATACAAAATACAAGAAATATTTTTATAAAAATGTAATATAGAAAGTAACAAAAACAGAATATACGTAAACAAGGTGTCAACATAGAAATTCTTTTCATTTAACTTACCACAAATAACTGATCAGATCCTCGTGACACTGTCGACTGAAGGCCTCGAATATTTTTTAAATTCTGTGAAAATATAATTTTTCTAAAAATACTGTTATATTTCATAAAATAATATTAATCTGAAAAATTGATTTTTTGAGGTTACATAATGTTGAAAATACTTATAATTTTTTCTCAAAGTCTTACCAGCAGACTGCAAGATTTTCGTAAAGACGTCAACATTTTGACACACACTGATTTTTACTCTTTCTCTCAGATCTTAATTATTTATTTAACTATAATTAGAAGAATAAAATCTAAATAAATTTCCTAAAACTTATACGTCAAATTTAAGGTTACAGTAGTAAATCACACATGCGCAGTTGTTCTTAAACTTCGAGAAGGAATTTCTGGTTCTATATGATGGCAACACTGTCTTATTGGCGGTTGATAAATGTTTTTTGCTGGAAATTACATATTAAATTTTATTTATTTTTGTGCTAAAAGACAAATATGAATATTCCGTGGTAAATTCTTTTTAATGATTTGTATCTTAAATTTTATATTTTTCGTTTTTATAGTTAGACTTTTTTTTCGATAATATGCGTATAAATAAAATGAATTTGAATTTGGTGTTACGAGCGACTACCATCTCGCTCGTTAACTTTCGATGTATCGATTTACGAGTTATCGAAGCGCGAAATTATAACATTAAACTATAAAGTTGAGTCTCCATGGAGACTCAACATTGCAATGTGAGAGAAGGTGCGCATCGATGTTCATAGCTATAGGTATACTAAAGTATGCTGTGGTATATCTATAGCTATGAACATCGATGCGCACCTTCTCTCACATTGGAGACTCAACTTAATAATCGTCGTATTCATTCTAGGCCTAATTCATTCTGTCCAGTCTGTCCACACCTGAAGATAGTCATGGTTATTCTTTTGTTTTTTATTCGTTTTGATAGAAAATAGAAATAAAATATAAAATAACAATTTTTTAACAAAATTTATGCTTTTGTTTTTTATATGTTTTGATAGATAATATTACATTTCTTTATTTTGTTTTTATTTTTTTTTTGATTTAATAATATTATTTTTTATTTCTCAAATAATTCAAAAATATTTTTGTTAATCTAAAAAATTATTAATATTATTATACTATTCTTTATTTCCTTTGATTCTCAAAAATTAGCATTTTGTAACAAACATTTTAGAAAATTAACAAATGTAAATCCTGTAAAATATTTTCTTTTCTTTTAATATGAAAAACTTTATTACTTAACAAAATTTTGACTTCTTCCTTGACTCTAAAGAATATTCTGATTCTCTCTAAAAATGATTAGATACTCCAAAAAATGTTCCATTACATTTATTTACGAATTTCTTTAATTCTAAAATTATTTGAAAAAATCAATTACTTCTTTTCTAAATAAATTTTAATCATTATTATTTTCCCACAGGAATAAATTATTTTTAATAATTTTTTAAAAAAGTTCTTTGAGAATTTTAAAATCCATTTGTTTACGAAATTTAAACTATTCAGAAATTCTTTAACTAAATACGAATTAAAAAATAAATACTTCAAATAATTTCAGAAAAAAATTCAATTAAACTTTTTTAAAATAATTAATTCTACAGAATTGTTAGTTATAAGTATGAAAAATACAAATTTTTAAAGAATTTGATTTGGAACCATTATAAAATTTAATTATTTTTAAAAATTCATGCTATAATGCTTTTAATATTCAATTATTATGTAAAACTTTAACTGAAATTCATTTTGAAATAAATTTTCATTAGAGAATTCAATAATTTGAATGCAAAAATAAATTGAATAATTAAAATTTCTTAAAATTTAAGTCTGATAAAGAATTTTATCAAAACATTTTTAAATTCATTTTTTGAAGGCACAAATATGAAATTTTATGCAAAGTTAGCAAAGAACTCAGGCTTCATTTTTATGGACTAAAAAAGTGTGCCAAATTGCAAGACGATTCATAAAAATTTATTCGAGTTATCGTGGCGACAAATTTTTCTACAGACAGACAGACAGACAGACAGACAGACAGACAGACAGACAGACAGACAGACAGACGGACGGACAGACACTTTTCTAAAAACCATTTTTTTGGAATCAGGGGGTCATGAAACGTAAAGATTTAGCAAAATTAGACATTGCTCAAAATCGCACAAATCCAAGACTTTCTCATTTTTGATAAGAATGTAAAAACAAATTTTACGGAAAAAATCAAAAAAAGGCAGAATTTTTAAAAAATTTGAGTTCCTTTTTGTTCCTAATTTTGTATTTTTATCTAAATTTGGCATCTAAAAGAAAAAAAGGAAGGTTTCGATATGTTTTTAATGTTTTTTCATGTTTCGGCTAATGCTTCACTCACTATAAATTTCAATTTTTTGTACTTTTTTGGAAAATTTTTTTTAAATTTGTGTAAGAGATGCAATTGTCGTTTCTAATGTTGAGGAAGGTGTATTAGCATAATATCAACTAATTTTTATTAACACGGCCCCAATAGGACAAATTTTCTACTGCAGAGAAGACTGACAAAAAGTCCAAAAAAGCAATAAATAACAAATTTAAAAAAAAAAAAAATTCATAACTTTTTTGTTTTTTGTTGTACTGAAAAGTGTCTAAAGGAAAAGTTGTTTGTTTTTGCACCAAATTTAAGGAAAAAAATAAAAAAAAATTTTTTTTTTGAAAATTGTAAAAAATACAAAATTTTGAAAATTTCAAAATTTTGTATTTTTGTTGTTTTTTGACGAAATGGGCTGCCCAACGAACTCAGGCTTCATTTTTATGGACTTAAAAAGTGTGCCAAATTGCAAGACGATTCATAAAAATTTATTCGAGTTATCGTGGCGACAAATTTTTCTACAGACAGACAGACAAGTAGATATACAGGGAGGGTTCTATCTAGAGATCCCTGCACCGACATGTTACCGACACTTTTAGCCCAGACTCAAACCACTTAGCCAAGACTCAAACCATTTGGGGGGGGTATTCAGACTGTTATGATGAGCTGGATATGACGTTATACTTCCAAGAATTTGGGGGGGGGATATTGAGCAAATTTTTCAAACCAAAACTGTTTTCAGACTGAGTCTCTCCGAACTTAACCTTCTTACTGTTTAAAAAAGTGATTTGATCAAATTGCAAGTTAGGCATTTGGCTACCTACCGTTTTACAAAAATTAAAAATTTGAAAATAAATAGATCCCATCGTTTGCCCACAATCAGACAAGGATTAAAAATTCTTAATTTAGTACCAGTTTCTTACAAAAAATTTTGAAAAAAATCGATCGATACATACATTCTTAAAAATTAAATTTTATTTTTAAAATTTAAAATTTTTTTGGTAAATTAAAAAAAAAAATTTTTTTAATATTTTTATCAAAAACTACGTGTAAAAACAAAAATTTTCATATATCGAACGTCAAATTTGATCAATTTTTGGCCGAGTTATAAGCATTTTAAAAAAAAATTTATGTAAAAAACGTGATTTTTCAAAAACCTGTATCTCTTAAATTACTTCATGAAAAAATTTGAAAAAAATCATGGAAGTTCCTTTCAACCAGCACTAAAAGAAAAAAAATATTTGAAAAAAATCGGAGATGCAAAAGTCAAAAGGTGTCCGACTTGGCGTGGAATGCCAAATATTATTATTATATTAAATTATTATTATTATATTGAATATATATAATATATATATATATTATATATAATAACAATTTTTATTTATAAAATTTTTTAGAATGTCCGCTTTAAAATATATATTTTTTCCGGAATTTTGAAAACTGTATTTTTAAAAAAAAAAGAGTTTTTCGAAAAAAAACCAAAATTTTTAATAATTTCTTCGAAACAATTCAACTATTTTTATAAATTACTAAATTTTCAAAATTTACAATAAAAAAAAGTTTCAATAATTGAAATTTCGTAAAATTTAATTGAAAATAATGAATTTTTTTCAAAGTTTTTGATAAAAATTTTTGAAAATTAACTTTAAAAGAATTTTAATTGCAAATTTCGAAAATAATTGATTTCTCAAAACTTTTAATGAAAAATCTTCAAGTGTAAATTGAAAAATGGTAATTAATGAAAATTAGCTACAAAAACAATTATATTAAAATATGTTTGATAAAAATAAGTCTTAGAATTTTTGCATTCTAATTTTTTAAAATTTAATTATATTTATAATATTTTTAAATAGAAATTTCCAAAAATTCAAATACATACAAAAAATAATAACATTAAAATTTTTTACAATTATTTTTAACATTTTAACAACATATGACTTTTTAGATTTATTAAAATTTTGGAGAAATCGCGTTTTAAAATAATTGAATTTCTTTGATGAATTTTAATAAAATTTTTAAGAATAATTACATTTTTCGGGGAATTCGACTAAAATTGTATTAAAAATAATTGAAATTCTGCGATAAGTTTTATTATTTATGAAAATAATTATTGAATATCTCCTTAAAGAAATTTGATTACTTATGAAAATAATTGAAATATTGGGAAGAAGTTTACTAAAATATTTATAAACAAATAGAATTCATGTAGAATTTTTATTATTTAATTAATTCATTCAAAATTGAAATTTTACAGAATTTCAAATTAAAACCTTTGAAATTAATCTATTTATGAAAATTGTGAAAATTGTCTAACCATTTACCAATGTCAAAAATAAAGTAAACCAAAAAAATTTCTATATTTTTTACCATGTTTAGAATCTAACAAATCATGGCCAACGAGAAAACTATACTTTAAATCTGTTTCTGTATTTTGACTATGGTCACAATATTTGAAAAAAACCATGACGAACGACAAAAATATGTTTTAAATTAGTTCAATTTTGTATCAAGTATACCGTAAAATATTTTTAAAACCGAAAGTATAGATCGTGTGAAATTTTTTTTCGTTTTTAAAGGTTTGTGTCACATCTGGTTTGCCTTAAAATGGCTAGCGAAGGGTTTCGCCTTGCAAGAGATCTTTTATTTTATGACTTTTCAAATTTCGAGTTTTTTTTCACATGGAAACTTTGTAAAATTTTTCAGATAAAAAAAAATGAAGGAAACATTTGGAAATTTCCGTCAAAAGGTACTTTAAGCGTCAGTTGCTTTTCAGAATTTGCAAGAGAAACTGAATCCACGCGTGAAAACTTTGTCACACTGAGAGACCTTTGGGTCAGCAGCAGACTTTCGATAGGCTGCTACTGACCATTTTGGTAGTTCGCTACAGGACTATACTTTTAGGCGCGTGACAGTTGATTACCTGCAAACCAATGACGTCATCCCCACTACTTCGGTGAGCTTATCACCAACATTTTGGACTGTCACGCGCCCAACATTGTATCGCAGCGCACTAA